CAATTATCAAAAACTAATGTTAAATGCTTATGTTAAAAGGGAGTTTTTCCTCTCCACTGTCGCTACAAGCATGCTTAGTGTGAGGGATTGCTGAAGAGTCAATGAGTCGATGCAATCAGCTGGTTTTCCTTAGATAGAAAACTTTGAATCAATCTGACTGGATGATCTGGTTGATCTGGATCTATAAAATGTCCTGAGATGACATTGTTATAAAATAAACTGAATTTAATTGGGGTTAAAGTTAAGGTTCTGTATTCACTGCTAAAGGTTAAAGTTATTGTTCAGGTCATTTTCAACCCTTTCACTGGGAGTCATGGTATGGGCCTGACTACATACAGGAAGACAGTCTGTCTACCTGCCACGGTGTACGCCGCCGTCACCACTAACAATATTCCAGTAGACACATAGAGATTCCAGCCGAGTGACACCTGGATGAAGAGCGCCCCTGAAAAGATATCTGTCTGTGAAACACAGAAAAACAGCAGAATGTAGCACTTGACATAAGACTGGAAATCTAAGTACTGGTAAAAGAAAGATATTGGTCTTACCGATATTTTTGTAAAGATGTAAAGTATGAGGGATAAAACGGACATGTAAATGCGAATCCTGCGGCCTCCGAATCGTAAAGCGAGGTATTCAGGCATGGTGACCACACCAGCAGAGATGTAGACAGGGATAAAGATCCAACCCAGAGCCACCAGAACCCAGGCTGCCTGTCAACACAATATCATTTGTTATAGCTTTGTATAAAAAATAATGGAATTATATTTTTTCCTCCAAACAATCTACCCCAATTAAGCTAAAATTACAGTTAGTGGATCGCACTTTATATCTGGAATTTTTTCCTTTTACACGTGGCAGAGTGAGCCGGTACCGAACTCCAGCCGGGGACAGGGTTTTACTGATTGTAATGTTCTCTCTATGTGTTTTGCTCTATGTGTGAACACAGATAAACAGCCAGCCAAACTCCTTATTCAAGAGCCAGCAAGTGAGCGGCTTGCTCATTTATTATCTTCTTACACATTTAGTCAGCATGTCTGACTGCATTGCATTTGGTGTAAAACTAGAAAAGAAAGATACAAAAAATGTCTAAATAAACAGCCATGTAAATATCAGTATTAACGCATCAAAGCATAAGCAGCTTAATATTAACTCAACAGGTATTCTTACAGCAGGCTAGAAAAGTGGCAGATTAGCAAGTAAACACACAGACACACTGCTGTCGTACAGACCACAATATTATACTGTTGCTTTTATACACAAAATACCCATAAAAGATATCAACAAATCTTATCGAATCTGTAAACAATTAGTAACACTTACAACCGTTGCTTTCTAAGAGATAAGCTGCATTGTTGCGGCCCTGAGACCATGCATACACCTTTTTCCCCTGCTTACGTTTTTACTTCCTACCCCTT